GGGGGGACGGCGGCAGGCAGTCAGTGGCTGCGGGGCTGCATGCAGTGCCCAGCCTGGGCCAGGGGCTGCGCGACCAAGGGCTGCTCTTACCTGCGCTGAAAGCACACGGCCGCTCCTTGCACCTTTTCTCTGCAAAGAGAGCGAGAGCGCTGCAGGGCCGCGGCACAGACAGAGGCTCCCACTGCACTGCAACCCCAGCGCAGAGCTGCTGGGCTGCAGCCATCAGCGGGGCCTGGCCTCCAGTTCCCCGTGGGCTCCCCGTCGGCCGAGCTCCCCACCTCCCCACGACCACAGCCTGCACGCCCTCCCCATGTCCCAGTCCTCAGTGTCCCCCGTCCACCCAAGCTCCCCATTCTGGAGCACTGCAGCCCTTACCCTTCACGAACTCGCAGTTGTAGGTGCTGTGCATCCCCTGGGAGCGGAGCTGGATGAAGGTTCTTCCCTCAGTGTAGGTGATGTTGGTGACCCTGAATTGCTCGAAGGGTGGGATGAGGACTTCATCTTCAGTGGGGAAAGTGGAGAATTCCTTGATGGGCACACCATAGCAGGTCTCCACTGAGAAGAACGTGTCCTGCCCAAAAGATTCAGCGACCTTCTCCTGGAGGGAGGAGGAGGTGAACTGGCCGAAGCGGACCACCCTGCCTTGCTGTGCTGTGAATCGGGTGCCCTTGACTCCACGGTAGACGTGGTGGCATTGCTGGGGCTGGGATTCCCTCAGGGTGTGCAGGGCTCTGCTCAGGAGGAAATGCAGTGTCTTGAAGGGGAAGAAACGCAGGTAGTGCTGCCGGGAGATGCCATCCCTTCTCGTGGCTGTGTTGAACTGGTGGTACAGTTTCCCCTCCATGGTGTATGCCAGCATGGCTGTGGCCTGGTCCCGTCTCAGGGCCGGTGGGCGTTTGCCATGATCCCATCGATTTCGCCACTCCATGGCAGCATTTCTCCACCCCTCTGCATAGACCTCGTTGGTGAACTCGGTGCGGTTCAGCTCCTCCAGCTCATCCTCCATCATGCGGCTGCAGCCCTGGTACTGGTCATCAAAGGTGCTGTTGGCCATGTCCATCGCCACCTCCTTGACTGAACCCAGGTCTCTCTTGCTGCTGGTGGCCAAGGTGCCGAGCAGCAGCACCCAGCCCAGGAGGACGTGCTCCATGTGCAGGAGGACACAGGTGCCCATCTGCACGCACAGTGATTCCCCCAGCACAGCTCCACCAGACCCGGTGCTGCAGCCGCAGCCCCACACGACGTGTGCCCCGTGACACATGAACGCAGCTGCTCTGGCTTTTTATAGTAACCCTGGCTGGATCCCAGGATGGGTTATTTATAATTGCATTTAGGACCTCTCAGAATGTCTGTTGCTGCTGACTTGTTGCAAATGGCCTCGTGCACATCATCAGGAAATACCCTTTAAACAATCATCCTTGCTTTAGTCTATACATATCACCAACCAGGACGCTACCCTGGGCCTTGAAATACAAATCTAGTGGTGACATGGATCCCTAGAAAGAGCGGAATCTTGCAACAACATTCATTTCTGAAACAATCTCATCGATGCCTGGGCCAAAGTACGTGGCTGTGAGTGGGGCCGTCACACCCCTTATCATTCAGCAGACTCTGGGAGATTCAAATACCAGCAGCTGTTACAGAATAGACCATGGGCAACGGGTATTGGGATGGTCAGACACTGGGACACACGTTTAGCAAAGGCTACCTGGTAGTCATCCAGGGTTTGCAGTCGAGCTGTCCCTGTCTGACCAAAACTCTTAGGCACTGGAGAAGGAGATAAAGTCACTGAATCAGAGTCACTGGCTGCAGGCTCAGTGACTCCTTCTCATGCTCTTACAGCTTTTTCCTCATGGTATCATATGGTACGGGATATCCCTTTGGCCAGCTGAGGTCAGCTGTCCCAGTTTTGTCTCCTCCCTGCTCCTTGTGCCCCCCAGTCCCTCACTGGTGCAACAGCAGTAGATGCTGAAATCTGAAACATCCTCAGCTCTGTGCAGCACTGCTCAGCAGCAGCACAGAGGCACAGGAGGTGGGCACAGCTCGGTGTGCTCAGAATCACCCCGCTGCCTCCCTGCCTGCTTCACTCTCCGTTCCTCCCTTCCCCACCTCCTTTATGCTGACCCGCTCCCTTTCCTGTAAATGAAAGCAAAAGGCACAGGGAGTGTTTCCACCTTGGCAGTGATCTCAGGAAGAAGCAGCACCGGGACCACTGACTGCTGCTGACAGGGAACAAATGAAGGAAGGGAGGAAAGCCCCCAGCCAAGCCCTGAGTGCTCCCATCCCAGCGCTGGGGATGGAGGGCAGCCCAGGACCCCACACCTCGCTGTCGGGGCCATGAAGCACCCGTGAGCGCAGCCACGGGGTTGTGGTGTTACCCAGCACAGCTCAGCCCCTTTGCTCACTGCCCTGTCCATGGGGATGGGGGGGAGAACTGGGAAAAAGCAGAAAAGAAGTTGAGCTCACTACTCACCGAATCACAGAATCGTAGGGGTTGGAAGGGAGCTCCAGAGATCATCGAGTCCAACCCCCTGCCAAAGCAGGTTCCCTACACCAGGTCGCACAGGTAGGCGTCCAGGCGGGTCTTGAATATCTCCAAAGGAGACTCCACCACCTCCCTGGGCAGCCTGTTCCAGTGCTCCGTCACCTCACCTAAAGAAGTTCTTGTGCACAGTTGTGCAGAACTTCCTATGCTGCAATTTCTGGCCATTTCCCTTGTCCTGTCTCCACACACTGCTGAAAACAGTC